TGGGTTGGTTCCATATCTTAGCTATGGTAAATAATGCTGCCATAAACATAGTTGTGCTGGTAGCCTTAGTATGGCCTGGTTTGTGATCATTTGAGTAAATGCCCCAAAGTGGGATTGCTGTGTCATAGTGGAGCTCTATGTGTAGTCTTTTGAGGAAACTCCATACTGCTTTCTAAAGTGGTTGAACAAGTTTACACTCCCACCAACAATGCAGTAAGGTTCCCTTCTGGCCACATCCCCTACAGCATCCGTTGTTATTAGAGTTCTTGATTATAGCCATTCTAACTGGGGTGAGGTAGTATCTCAATGTTGTTTTGATTTGCATTTCTTTTATGGCTAGAGAGGTTGAACATTTCTTTATGTGTCTATTGGCCATTCTTCTTTTCTCTTCAGAGAAGTTTCTCTTTAAGTCTTTAGCCCACTTACTTATGGGGGCAGTTGTTTCTTTGAGGATTTGTTGTTGGGGGATGTAATTTTTTGAGTTCCAAGTATATTTTAGATATGAGACCCTTATCTGTTGTATGGCTAGTGAAGATCTCCCAATCTGTGGCAGGCAGCCTTACTCTCTTACCTTTGTAAGGAAGGGATGCCCACTTAAGATCAATTCAATCCTAGAAGCCATTAAAATAAGCCTTGTTATTAAGTAATATTTGCAATAATACCTTTTGGATTTCAAGATTCCCCTTTGGTCCCCTTTCCTCCAGTGTGTTTAATTTGTATAGGATGCAAAATACAAAACCTGGGGTGCAAGCTTTGCTATTCTCATTTTAAATCTTTTGCTCTAGAGAGCTTAGCTCTCTTGATTTTCTTTTCTTTTCTTTTTTTTTTTTGGTTGGCAGTCCCCTTTACACAACTACATGTCATTGCATTTAGGGCCCTCCTGAATTATCAAGAATAATTTCCCCATCTCCTTAATCATAGCCACAGAGTCTTTTTTTGCCATAAGAGGGAAATTCCTCAGGTCATAGGTCATCTTCAGGGCTCTTTTGGAGCTCAGCACAGCTGTAATTGAAAGTCATGCTCTTTATTTGTTAAAATCCTAAAGTTAGGTTCTTCTTTCAGTCTCCTGATGATTCTGATGTTCACTTTTTTTTCTCTTCAAACTGGGGTTTGAACTCAGAGCCTTATGCTAGCAGGGGCTTTATTGCTGGGTCACACTAGCAGCCCCCGGTGCATTCTTGCTTCCCCTTTTCCTTATTATGTGGATTCCCTCCTGTTCAGTGAAGTTATTAGAAATGTTCTCTTAGCGGGTAAGTAGGAAGTTTTAAAAAATACTTGTGGATGTTATCAGAGCAGAAGGCCCAGCTCATAACCAGCTCTGTAGCATTTGCAGACTTTCTGGCTGATTGAACCTTACCTTCTTCATGTCCTCTCACCTGGTTCCTTCTGGCTCTTTGTGAAATAAAGGACTTCTCTAACAGTATTTCAGACAAAAATTGGTCCTGAGTTAGTGGTCTGCTCCTAGATTGGCGATATCACTTACATTAACTTAATGTGTCCCATTTTAAATTGGGAGTTGTATAAAACTTTGAAGAAAGAAATTGAAGAATACACAAGGAGGTGGGAAGACTTCCCATGTTCATGGTTTGGCAGAATATCCCAAAATGGCCATACTGCCAAAGGCAATCTACAAATTCAATGCAATGACCATCAAAATCCCAATGTCATTCTTCACAGAGAAAAGGGAAAATAATCTCAAAATTCATATTGAATTGCCCAGGCTTCATATCAATCCTGTGGGGGAAGAACCAGTGTTGGAGGTATCACAAACTGTATTACAGAGTCCTAGTAAAAAAAAAACAAAACAAGCTGGGTGCCAGTGGTTCATGCCTGTAATCCTAGCTACTCAGGAGGCTGAGATCTGAGGATCATGGTTCAAAGCCAGCCCAGGCAAGAAAGTCCATGAGACTCTTATCTCCCATAAACCACCAGAAAACCGGAAATGGTGCTGTGGCTCAAGTGGTAGTGCACTTGTCTTAAGCTGAAGAGTTGAGGGACAGCACCCAGGCCCAGAGTTCAAGCCTCATGACCACCCCACCCCCCCAAAAAAAACAGCTCAGTACTAGGACAAATACTGACCCTAAGACCAGAGTAACAAACTAGAAGGCCCCCAAAGAGGCCCAAACTATTAGAAAGGAAAAGTCTGTTCAATAAATGGTGTTGGGAAAACTAGATAGCCATATGCAGAAGACTTAAACTGGGTCCCTGCCTAACACCTTGTACTAATGTCAATGCAAAATGTGTCAAAGACCTCAATGTAAGACTTGAAACTACTATATGAATGAGTAGGGGAAACAATAGAACTTATTGGCTTAGGTGAGAGTTCCAGGGGCTTAACAAATAGGGGAGAGAATTGACAAATAGATTACACTATCTATAAAGCTCTGCATAGGGAAAGATATAGTTATTTTTCTCCTCCTCCTTCTCCTCTTCCTCCTTCTTTTCCGTCTTCAGCTCCTTCTTCCTTTCCCTCCCCCTCTTCCTCCTTTTCCTCCTCTTCTTCTTCCTCTTCTCCCCTTCTGTCTCCTCCTGCTCCCTTCCTCCCCCTCCTCGCCCCCTCCTCCTTCTCCTCCCCCTCCTCCTCCTTCTCCTCCTTCTCTTCCTCCTTCTCCTTCTCTTTCTCCCCTCTCCCTCCCCCTTCCTCCTCTCCTCTTCCCTCCACCTCCTCTTTCTTCTTCTTTTTGGACTGGAACTCAAACTTGGTACCAGGACTCCAACTCTGTGCTTGATGCTTTCTATTATTGGCTAGAGCTCTACCAATTGAGCCATGCCTCCAACACCCAGGATATGGTTATTAAGCCAAAAAAGACGCCGTCAGAATGGGAGAAGATCTTTGACAGCCGTATGACTGAAAAGGGTCTAATAACCAGAATAAAGGAGCTCAGGAAACTAAACCCCTGAAGATTGAATAACCCAATTAATAACTGGACACAGATACTAAATAGATACTTCTCAGGAGGCATAAAAATGAGAAATAGATACGTTGAATGATCATCATCCTTGGCCATAAAGGGAATGCAATTCTGAACAGCTTTGATATTCAGTTAGAATGGCCATCATCAAGAGCACGAACAACAAATGCTGGCGAGGATGTGGGGGGAAAAGGAAGCCTATCAGACTGGTGGTGGGACACATGGTGGGATACATAGTACCTCTATGGAAAGGCAGTATGGAGAGTCCTTTAAAACCTACACACAGAACTACCCTGCTGAACGTTTATCTAACAAATCAGGATACAATAAAGGCACTGCTGTATCTGTGCTTATTACTGCATCATGTACTATAGTCAAGTTATCTATGAAGAATGATGTTATGTCATTTGTAGGGAAATGGATGGATCTGGAAAAAAATTACATTGAGTGATATCAGTCAGGCTCAGTGACACAGATGGTGCACATTTTCTCTCATAGGGAAGCTAGTTCTAAACTATAAAAATATAGGAAAATATAGGGCCATATGTATATATATGTGACCAAACTGACTAAAGCATGGTATATGCCGAGCTGGTTTTCAGTGATTTAACCCCTTTGAACAATCAATAGTTTAACAAAATAAATACCAGGAAGCCTAAATATGTCTTGCTGGGAAAGGTAGGAGTTTAGGGGAGAGAGATATATAAATGGAGGGAAGAATGGTCATATTGTTAAATATTACTATTTCCCTTTTTCATTTAATTTAGAAATGTGTGAAATAGTGTTGAGGTCCCAAAACAGCACCAAAGATTCATGCTATCAATGAAAACTAGAACATGAAATCCTGTGTTTAAGTGATACTGATTTTATTATAATTATTCTTGCTACTAAAGAAATACTTTCCCCTCTGTACAGTATTTTCACAATAAGAAATAAAAGAAAACTTTGTTAGGAGACTTTGAACAATCCAACATTCCCATGATGGATTTATCTGGTTTTTCAATGTAGTTGCCAACATAATAGAGAGCAACACCGAAAGGCTAGAAAACATCTAAGCCAAAGCAGTTAACTTTTGTCTATAAAATAATTGTGAGGGTCTGACTCTTTCAAAGTCAGGCTCACAAAGTGTGAAAGTGTATTTGCTTTAGTGTGAACAATAAAACATATAAAAATAAAAAAAAGAAATACTTTGTTTTTTTAAGAAAAAATTCAACATTAAAGAGTTATCTTTGATTATTTCTAATGCTAAGGCCAATTTCTTCTATGTTCTCTCTTTTTCTTGTGATTCTGATTTTAAATCTATCATTCCAGACTCGTCATCATGGATCCTGTGCTGGAAGCAAATGGTACCTTTGCCCTAAACCTTTTGAAAATACTGGGCAAAGACAGCTCAAAAAATGTATTTTTCTCACCTATCAGTATCTCTTCAGCCCTGGCCATGGTCTACCTGGGAGCAAAGGGGAATACTGCAGAGCAGATGGCTCAGGTAACAAGTGACATATCTCAAGGAAAGATCAATGCTACTGGTTGTCTTTGTGCTGGCCCTCTGCATTTCGGATCACCAGAAGGAGCATTCTTGTTGAAAAACTAACCAGTATGTCATAGGGGTGGGGATGGACATTCTACCCCCGCTGAGCACCTGGTGCAAACACCCTTGTCTGTTAGAGGAGATAGGTTAGTGCTTTTCACTTGGGGCAAGAACTGTAAAGGCATGGCACCTCAAGGCCACCCATGACCCCTGCTCTATCCTGTTGCCTCTAATAGTTCCCATTAGTGTACCATTAGGTACCTTAAGCCCTCCCTTTTCCCAAGACTCTAGAGTCATGGGGTCAGTCTTGGCTGGGAGTCTAGGAACAGGACTGAGTCTCTTCAGATGCTGCTTCTTAGGAGCAGATCTTTGGATGCAGAGAGATCTGTAAACTGGCTCAATATAGAAAGGTGAGATAGGGAGGGCTGGCTGGAGGGCACAATCCTTCCAGAAAGGAGGAAGCAGTGATGTATTATCTACTAGGGCTCTGTAACAAATAACAGATACTTATTTTCTCACAGTGCTAGAGGGTAAAGTTCAAAATCAAGTAGGTGGGCTCCAAAATTTGTTTTCCCATTGGCAAAGGAAGGATTGAGGGTCTAGCCGGCAGCCATAGTTAAGAGTCAGAATACTGTAAGCATGAAGGGGCCAGGGTTTGTAGGGGGTCTTTTCTGCCCAGAGCAAAGGCCTCAAGACACTTCATTTTTAATCAGATGCTTCTTTGAGCAGCAATAAAGATCTGCACACTTCTTAGATTGAGTTTAGTGTTTATTCATTTCCTGGAGTAAGGGCTTACGGAAGTTGTGTGTTTTTATTCTGTTTCTGACTTTAGGTGCTGTCTTTCGATAAATGTGGCAATGATGGAGACGGAGATGTCCACCAGGGCTTTCAGTCACTTCTCACTGAAGTGAACAAGACTGGCACGCAGTACTTGCTTAAAGCAGCCAACAGGCTCTTTGGAGCAAAGTCTTATACTTTCCTCTCCGTAAGTCATTTCCGCTGCTTTTCACAAAACTCGGTGGGAAGGGTGGAGGGAATGAGAGAGCACAGCAGGACTGTGGGCTGAGAGTTCACTAGGGAGCTTCTATTTGTTTACGTGCTTTCATGTTATTTTCATTTAAAAGATTAGAAAACTATTCAAGTCATAGTGAGCATGTTTTTAACGTACTGAAAGCAAATGAAACCAACACAGCAAGAGGTTTCATTAACCTCTCTTCCACGTACCATCATTTCTCCCCGGATAAGAGCTTTTATAGATGTGTATCTTCTTGCATATGAAGGTTTTATTTTGTGAGGATTTTCTGTGCATGAGCTACTAGGCCATTCATATTGTTTAGTAGTTAGTTTCTTTAATTATTTACATTTCAATCAATACATGTGTATCTTCCTTACTAGTACTATAATAGTACCATTATGTGTGTGTGTGTGTGTATGTGTGTGTGTGTATGTGTATGTGTGTATGTGTGTGAGTACCAGTACTAGGGCTTAAACTAAGGGCCTATCATTCATTTGGTGTATTTGCTCAAGGATGCCACTACATTTTATTTTTAGCTTTTTACTTTAATTGGAACTAAGAATCTCATAGACTTTTTGCCCACACAGGCTTTGAACCTTGATCCGCAGAACACAGCCTCCTGAGAGCTAGAATTGTAGATGTAAGCCACTAGTGCTAGGGTAACACTGATTATTTATGAGGTCAAACAAGTTTTCTTATTGAGCATATACAAGCTGAGCATCCCTAAAACCTAAAGATAAATAATATGAAAAACTTCAAAACCTGAAAAATTCCAGAATGTAAACCACCTCCAGTCCTGTGTGTTTTGAATAAGGTATATTCAACCTATATATGTTTTCTGAGTGTTGTCTGCTTACATGTTCTCTGAACATTTTTCTGTTGGGATGTATTCCTTTTTCATAGCTTTTTCATAACTTTTTTGTTTCGTTCTTTTGAGTTGGTTTTGGGGCTTGAACTTAGGGTCTGGGTGCCCTGAGCATTTTTGCTCAAGGCTAGTACTCTACCACTTTGAGTCACATCACGGGTTTTCTGGGGGTTAATGGAAATAAGAGTCTTATAGACATTCTTGCCTGGACTGGCTTTGAACTGTGATCCTCAGATCTTAGCCTCCTTAAGTAGCTAGGATTATAGGTGTGAGCCACTGGTGCCTGGCTTGAATTTGGGCCTGGCAGCTGTCCCTGAGCTCTTCAACTCAAGGTGAGTGTTCTACCACTCTGAGCCATAGCACCACTTCTGGTTTTCTGATGGTTAACCGGAGATAAGAGTCTCACAGACTGGGAAGGTGGCTCAGTGGTAGAGCACTTGCCTTGCATGCATGAGGCCCTGGGTTCGATTCCTCAGCACCACATAAGCAAAAGGAAAAAAGCCAGAAGTGGCGCTGTGGCTCAAGTGGTAGAGTGCTAGCCTTGAGCTGAAGAGCTGAGGGACAGCGCCCAGGCCCAGAGTTC